AAGGTTTCCTGGTATATTGCTCTTGCAAAGCAGCTCTATTTTAGCAGAAGCCTTCTCTGCAGAGAGAGCTACAGTACATGTTTCAATTTTCTTCTGTTGCCAGGCTTTAAAACCAAATAAAGTAGCCAAGATAGTGAGGGATCAGGGGACAAAAATGAATTTGAGGTATTCCTTGCTGTGTTCTTTATCACCATGTTTACCAGCTTTCTTGCTTTCCCCACAGCTTGACAGCTCTCAGCTAGACATGTTCCATCTCTGCCCGTTGATAAGGGGTCTGTGCTTTCATCTGTTAACATCTTGGCATATTCTGTTCACAGTGGCAGTTACAGATCATCTAAAATGACACTCTGTAGGAAGTGTGGTCTCTGGATACCCATCTCTGCCCAACTTTCTCCGGTTTGCCAGAAAGCTCAGTTCAGCAGGTCAGTATAACAGGAACTGAATTCAAGGCACATTTGTTGTGGAAAGCATCCTGCTCTTGTGATGGCAGAACATGCAGAGCAGCTAAACCTAGTGTATGTGAGGTTTTCCATGGGAAAAAGCCTCCTGTAGACTTAGCTGCTGTTCTACTGAGTCCAGAGACCTTGGAGGAAATTGCCAAACAACAAAAGAACCAAACTTTCACAGGGTAGGAACACAAACTTATCTTAGAGGTTTTTTTCTAAAAGGGATGAGCTGAGCAGAAGGCACAGATCCTGGGAAGCAGGTGGTTTTTAAATAGAATAAGAGACATGTAGTACAAACTGCATGAGGAAATAAGTTTCTTCTTCTACAATGCCCCTGACCTCCTGCCTAAAGAGCAAGCTGAGCCAGTCAGGTGGGAAGGCAGGGAATATTTTTGGTGCAACGTGGACAACAGTCAGAGATCAGAGACAACACCGCTGGGTTTAACTCATCTTGATGTTTTTCAGATCTTGAAAGATAAGCCCGGGACTCCCTCAAGCCCCAGTACAGAGGAAGTCTGTGAGAGCCACCGGCACCAAGCCAGCCTCTTCCATCCATCCAAAGCTGCAAGCAGCAGATCCATTGCCACCAAGGCCAGGGCTCTTTCAGCCACCATTCAGGTAGGGACCAAAGAGATTTCTCTGTGCCTGACATCGTATCTGATAGGTGGGGACATCCTGCATCAGCTCTGCTGGAGAAGATGGATTGGCATGTGAGAAATAAGTCAGGGTAAATGCTAATCATCAGAACTATCACTAAGATGATAATATTTTTTATATGGTCTAAGTAGCTTTTGATGGGTAAGAAAGCACATCCTTTGCAGACAACTGCCTCAGCTATACCTCTGTAACCTATGGGGAAGCATTAATGTTCTGTTGGGTTCATGTGCAGCAAGTTGTTGGTCTCAGTTTAGCCTTTGTTTCATATCCAAGCTATGCCTCAGCAAGGACACCAGTGATGGGCTGCACTGACCATCTGCCAGCTTCAGTTGTTTTGCTTTGTGCAGGCTCACAATACCAGGAGTAGTTATGGGGAACTGGACACCCCAATCCTATTGAAATGTTGCCAGAATCCTACAGTTCTGGCAAGGGGTGTTTTGTGATCCTCATAAGTTTTTCTTAGTTTTTTTTTTACTAAAAAATTTTTAACTTTTGATTTACAATGCTCTAATTTATTTTGGCTAGATATTAGCAATTCATACATTGCAAAATACTTTTAATCTGTGCTGTGTTTCCACTGTTTATAACAAAGCTCTCCCTGCTTCCAACAGAGGGGACTCCTCTCAAGGTACTGCCAAAAGGCAACGCTCCTGCAAGCACCACCCAGCACAGCAATGCTGGTCACATCAAAGGACAGGATCTACAGAAACAAGTGAGTGCATGAAATATCAGATTGGCTGGCACAGAAAGAGCTGTGGCACTCTTCAGCACTTGCTCTGGTGCAATCTGAACTAAAAGAGCTGCAAATGCAACACAAATGGTCCAGTTGTGAAAGCAGTCACATGGGTAGAGGTTTTATAGCCAAGTTTTAAGCCTTTTTTCTTTGCAACAGATGACACGGGCAATGTTCCAGAAGGAGTTACACTCCATCTCCCTTTAGCGAAAAAGAACCTCTTAGAAAGAGAAAATACATTTTCAGAGGTGTTCATAATCCATATCTATCCCAGTCTAATCCATATGTGAAGCACAGAATTTTATCTGAGTTAGCCACATGCCAACATACTGCTTCCACTGAAGGTGTCACCTTGGGATCTTCCTGAGGCAGCGTTGTGCAGATCCTTGGCTTTTGCCAAACTCATCCCTCCACAGCCTGTAGCAATCTGTCTCTTCCCCATTTTGACTGGCAAAGAGATCAAATCAAGGTGTGGGAAATTTGACTGAGTTCTTCCTCTTCCCTCTCTTGCAGGGCCTGCAGATGGTGCCAGCAGTCGGCAAAAGCCACAGGCAGTCGCTGTCTGGGGAGCCAGCCCAGGACTGAATAGAAGTCAGCCATGAACAGGACTCTCTTTGGCCCCAAAGGATTGCAATTTCAAGATTTCTGGAAGTTGAGGAAGCAGATTCAAAAGTGCCTTAAAATGTATTTAAGCTTCTGTGTCATGCTGCTGAAGAGCAGAGGGAAGATGAGCAGGGAGGAGAGGAAGGTTATACACTGTAGATTTCCTGATCTATATCCCTACTTCAAGTCTTGGCTCTGTCCTGTGTGCACTAGCTGTTAGCTTCAGTCTAAAACAAGTAGGGTGTTAACAGAGTCCAAGAGGAGAGAAAAATCTCCTTTTCCTAGCAGTGTCCACCTCCCAGAAGATGTCAGCATGGAGCCCAAGCCACCTTTTTTTCCCAGAGCGGGATGGATGCCACCCATGCATCCAAAAGGCTCCCTGACTGTTAAAACCAAATGTAAATGCCTGAGAAATCGCTTGCCTGTTCTTTCCCCGTGTGTTGCTGTGAAGCTGGGAGGTGTACTGCATGTCTGGAATGCTGTTTGGGTGAGTAGATGTTTGGCTGTGAGAGCAGCCAGGGATTGCTCTAAGCTCTCTTCTGTATCTACAGAGCATTTCAGATCTGACTGCAGACAGAGAGGCAGCAGTGGTGATAGGTGAGGACCCTGATAAGAATTCCTAGCCTGGATGTAAACTGAGGAAATGTGTTTTCCTTTTTGGAACAAATGTCTCCAGCTGGCAGCCTTCTCCATTAAGGAGCTTTTAAAATATGCTGCAAATAAAATGGTTCTGATAATTGCATGGAATAATGACTCCTTGTCCCACGCAGAAGTGGCTTCCCTCCTCTAAGGTGACAGTCTCAGGTAGGTTTGGGCATTTTTTTCAAATGGATGAAGAATCTATTTTACAGCTGCAACACTTGCAAAGAATTCTCCTGTGTGCTGTTTCTCACTGGGTGACACTGTACACACTCCTATTTCTCTATGCCTCTTGCTTTGCTGTTGGGAAGATGAGGAATAATTCACTCCAGGGATGAGGAAGCTTAATTACTTGTCTTTACAAATGCCTTAAGCCCCTGAAGTGGGGATGCAATCAATGCAAGGGTGTGAGCGGGTATAACAAGCAGCCAATTTTCCTTGTGAAACAGAAAGCAGCAGGAAAAACTGTGACAGGGAAGTGGAAGGCCACGAACACTTGTCCCCAGAGCTGACTCTTTGAGATAAACGAAGAAATAAAAGAGATAAAAATAAAGATAAAATAAGCACAGAGTTTGTGTGAGATAAACCTGTGCCAGCAAGTCCTGAGCCACAATTGATTTGCAAGACCTCACATGACATGCAAACAGTGCAGCACCAGAAATAAGGGAAAACGAAGCTTTCCAAGCATATACATCTCTAAATACCTTTGGGCTGAATCACCATGAAAAAGTTGCAGTGTTTGGTGCCATTTCAAGTGAGCTGAATTGAGCCAAGTGCGTCACTCTGAGGCTGCATCTCCAAAGGGAAAGTTTGTGTGACAAAGAGTTTGATAATTTTCCATGACTGTTGTGAAGAGTACAGAGCTATGTGATGTGCAAACTTCCCTGTATGAAAAATCTACATTTTAAGTCTGTTAATTTATGTAAAAGATGGGGCTCGAAATCTTGGAGGTGGGATCTAAAATTTATCACTTGTATGTTTGATTTTTGCTGGATGTGAGGCTGCAGTCCACGTCTTGTGCAAAGGGGAACTTTTCAGTGCTGGGCTAATGGGTTTTTTTTTTATTCAATTCTTACCAATCACAAACAACTAGAGAAGCAAAAGGAGCTTAAACTGTGCTGGGATTTTTCAGCAGCATTTTCTAGCCTTACTGTGTCCAGCTATTTAGACTTTGCTCCTTATGACTGCTGGCCACCCGAGCTTCAGGGACATTAAATACCCACACAGCGTTACAGTGTGGTAACTTGCAATTTATTTAAAAGTGAGCTTTACGTTAAATTTTTACAAGATCACAGAATTTTCAAGGTTGGGAGGGACCTCTGAAAAACTCCTTGCCACGGAGGAGTCACCTAAAGCAGGTGACACAGGAACCCGCCGAGATGGATATGGGGTATCTCCAGAGAGGGAGACCCGAACCCTCCCTGGCCACCCTATTCCAGCGCTCTGCCTCCCTCCATGGCAGGCAGTTCTTCCACACGTTGAGGTGAATCTTGTGTTTTAGTTTATGGCCGTTTCTCCTCACGCCGGGAGGGTGTGAGCGCTCCGCACCGCCCGCAGCAGCCGCCCCTCAGCCGCCACCCCTGCGCTCCCTCAGGCGAGGGCGGGCGCGCGGCCGGGGCCGCCCCTGGCGGGCGGAGCGGCGCCTGCGCGGCCCCGCGGGGACCCCCGCGCGCGGCGTCTCGCGAGAGGCGGCGCCGGGAGCGCGGCGGGAGGAGGAGGAGGAGGGAAGGAGAAGGGGAAGAAGGCGAAGGCTGCGGTGTCCGGGCGGGAGGTGAGCGCGGGGCCGGGCAGGGCTCGGGGGTTGTCCGAGGGGCCGGGCGGGGCTCGCTGAGGCGGTGCCGCCCTGGGGCCGGACCAGCTCCCGGTTATGAGCGCGGCGTGTCCCTGCCTGTCCCTCCGCTCTCCCCGGTGCCAGGTAGGGCTCGGCTCCGGCGGGACGCGGGGCTGCGGGGGCTCTGCGGGGCAGCTCTCCTTCTCCACACACGCGGCACCTTCCCGGCTGGACGCTCCCCAGGGAGCTGGGGGGTTTAGCTGGGTTAAAGGAGGAGCGGGGGGACCACATCGCTCTGTACAGCCACCTGGGAGGAGGTGTCAGACAGGTGGGTGTCGGTCTTTTCTCCCAAGTAGCAAAAAACAGAAGAGAGAACGGCCTCAAGCTGCCCCAGGGAACGAGCTGCCCGGAGAGGTGGTGGTGTCACCGTCCCTGGAGGTAGATGTAGATGGTCACACTTGGGGTCACGGTGTGACAGCGTTAGGTTGATCGTGGGACTCAATCCTAGAGGTGTTTTCCAACCTTAATGATTCTGTGAGTGCCTCCAGCCCCGGTGCTGGGCCTGAGGCTGGTGCAGCCCTGCCGGGTGCTCTGCAGCCCCTGCCGGGCGGGGGATGAGCGGCTGCGGGAGCGATGCCGGGATGCAGCCGCCTCCCGACGGCACAGCCCGGCTTCCAGCGCTGCTCCGCGGGGATCCCAAAGCGCTCTTCTTCCAGCCTGAACTTCCCTGCAGAGCTCAGGCTGAAAACTGCCGGAACCAGGTGTTTGTGAGGTGACTACAGCCAGCGCGGCTCTCAGGGGTGACACACAACAAATGTCCCCCGGTGTTGTTGGCCCGGGCTGCAGCAGCGGGGCTGCCTGAGGTCCTTCCTGCCATTGTGAAGCCGGGGATGGTGCGTGTGCTGGAAGTTTGTGGTAAAAGTAATGGGTGAACAGTATGTCCTGCGTTTTGGGAGTTTCCTCCTGAAATTTAGGAAATTGTGACAACTTCTAAGTATGGATATTAAAAAAAGAGGTGACAAGTGCTGCCAAGCCTGTACAAACCAGGCTTTGTGGCAGCAGCGGCGGGCAAGGTGCTGGCAGAATGTAGATTAGGATGTCCTTCTGCTGGTCTCTAACATGTATGAGCTAAGTTGTGGTGCAACATGCAAAGCAGCTCCGTTTTTTGCTTATGGTGTACATTTATACTAATGTAAGTATTGGTGTCATTTGATGGGTTAAAACTTCCTTGCTCTCTAAAGGGTGGTAGACTTTTGGGAGGCTGGGTAGATACAATGTGTTGAGTGATAACCAAGTGCATGAAATTTTTTTATTGGTACAGTCTGCTTTTTCTGGTGGGAGCTCATTCTCCTGCACCTTTAGGAAATTAAATTAGGTTCCACTTTTCTAGAGGTTGGTGATTCCCTAAGCATAACTGGTGTGTACCATGATATGTAAGTATAGAAGGCTGCATGGGTCCAGTGATCCCTGGAGAAGTGCCCCAAGGGAAAGTATCCGTTTGAATTTGGTGGGGGTTTTATGTGTTTTTAAAAGCTCTTACTCCACTTCTTTCTGTCTTCCTAAGCAGGCAAAATCCAAGCAAGCTGCCTGATATCCTGTATCTTCTCATGTTAGATCAAGTGGGCACTGGAGGAGTTGAGTTGGTTCCTAGTGCTAGGGAAATCCAAAGCAAGAAGAGAGGGGATCTGCACCCAAGCCTTTGAAGGCACATTTCTTTCAAAACCACTGCTGTTCATAGGGTTTATTGTCCCCTGTGTCTGGCATGTGCCTTTCTGTAAGCTGCTTTATTTTCTGTGGGCCTTACTGCTCCTGTAAATGAGCTGGAGTTACTTTTGCAGAGAGGCTGGAAGAGAATGTAGTTGTTGCATAAAGCCAAGAGGAAAGGAATAAAGAGACACAAATTACTTAAGCTCTTATCTGTCCTGAGAATAAACAGTTACAGTCAGGCTGTGAAGTGGAAATAAAGTTTCCAAACCCCTGAGGAGTTGCATCTGCAATGGCTTTTGCAATAAGAGTGCTGGGGACATCCCCCTTTCTGATATTCAATGAGTTTGGGAGGTGGTTGTTTGACACAGCAGGGGTTTGACCTGTCATGGCACGAGTGACCTCACACTGCAGTGTCTTTCTCGGGCCTGGCATGGGGAGAAAAGCTCTTGGTTCACACCCAGGCTAGGTTCAGGTTGGAGATGGTCACGGGATGGTTGCTCAGAGGACTCTGTAGGATGATTATAGCACTTGGTCCATTTTCCAGTTTGCCAGCACCGTGTCACAGAGGCGGCTTTGTTTGGATCCTGGTACGTTCCTGTTGGCTGGTGACTTTGGGTTGAACTTGAATGTAAATTCTTGGCACTTTCTGGAAGCTTTTCCTTTTGATTCTGGCAAGGGGAGGACAGAGGCACGTTCCCTCTAATGTGCACAGAGAGCTCTAATTTGTGCTTTCAGTCTGGCGTCCTTTATGAAGTGCTCAGGAAGGGGATAGGTCATAATCAATAGAGCAACTCTTGTTTTCTGCAGCGTTTTCCCTCTGAGGGAGAATTAAGCTGTCTTACTGCTCTTTTCCAGGGTTCCTCTCTGGCACTGGTAGAGTTAATAGAAGTGGAGTCTTTCTGATTCTGTGCTGCTCGCTGCTGTGTGTGTGTCTTGGAAAAGCCAAACTCTCTGGCAGGCCTGCGTGCCGTGTCCTGGAAAGCAGGCTGGAGCCCTTGGGGTGCACTTGGTAAAGCTGCATTGTGGGGTGGCTTTGGTGAAGATCTCTCTTTCCATTTGCCCCAGGAATGTGAGTGCCACACACAGTGTCCAGTCTGCCCCTGTCGCTGCTGCCAGCAGGGGGATGTGTCCATGCCCGGCTGGGACTGCTTTGCAGGAATGCTGGGAGGCTGCAGTGCTGCCCAGGGCTGTGGGAGCTGCTGGCTATGGGGACAGCAGGAAAGGATGCTCCGTGCAGCTTTCCAGGCTTGCTGCATTCCAGCCAGCCCAGAGGTCTCAAGCAGCGCTGGAAGCGCAGCGTGCTGGGGTTCTGTGCGCAGTGGGCACCCTATTCATCCAGAATAGGAAGCAGTCCCTGCCCTGAGCAGCTAAATGGGATCAAAAGCAAGAACAGACTTGGGCAAAACTCAAACCCAGGAGTGTGCCAAGCAGGAGGCTTGGCAGTGTCCCTCCATTATCTTCTGCTGCTGGACTCAGATGCTTGGTCTGAAGTGCTGACGCACATATGTAATTTGCCCCTTCTTTAGCTCTCTGCTGATCTCTCTGGGTGTTTCTTTTCAGATCTGCTCCATCCTCAATCTTGACTAGCTAAACAAGGAGAATTACTGCTGAGTAATACCTGCTTCTTGCTCTGCAGAGTGTAAAACGTTACGTCTGCAGTTCCTCCAGCTCCCCTTCGCAGGCAGAATAAGAACCCAGCTTCAGGAGAGGGCACTTTTTGGTGTTGCAGTGAAAAGCCTGTGTTAGGCTACAATTCTACTGAATTACTGTCTGTCCCTCCTTCCAAATTGTAAATAAATACACCAGGGTGGAGCAGTCCTGTGCCTTCAGATATGCTTTGTGTCTTGGGACAAGCTGACCTAATACTTTGACATGTAACAGTATCTGGTATTGTTCCTCTTTATTACTAAATTCTTGTCTAATATTTGAAACCTGGACTTGGGTTGTTAAAACTCATGACCCTTGAGACAAAAGCACAACCACGCAGGGGACTTTTTACCAAGTCATTCACTGCAAGGCTGCAGTGAACTTCAGAGGTACTGAGCACCTTTTCCCTGGGAATTACAGAGCTCAGCACTTTTGCATATCTGGACTTGAGTTCTTCTGCATCTCTGTGTAGGGTGGGGTTGATGCTGTTTAAGGGTGGTGTGAATTGGCTGGGGAGCAACCTCTGTGTTTTAGGAAGAAGAGACACCCAGCCTTCATTTTAACAGAACATTTCAGGGCAGCTTGCCCTGAAGTGGCTTTGTTTTCAAAGCTGGTGTTTGCAGGGATTGTGCTGAAGTCATTGGAAAGATTTAGGATGTCTGTGGAAGGGACAGCTCTTGTTTTTTATCTGTAGGTGCTGCTCTGTGTTTATAACCAGAGCCTGGGCTGTGCTTGGAGGGGTGGAGAACATTGCAGTAACTATTTGTAGCTGGTCACTTTGCTGTGTTGTTCTTCCCTGGCTTTAGGCACTGGCTCCTTGCTGGTGTGGGGAGAGCTCGAGGCTGGTCTGCACAGAGCCTTGGACCACAAAACATGCAGCAGGGTGTGGAGATGGGTGTTCCTTGAGGATCTTGTGGGGAGAAAGGGGCTGGGAGTCATGGAAAGCAGACAGCAGTGAAAAGATGGGGCTGGTTGGAGCAAAAAACTCAAACCTGCTGCACCCCTCAGAACAGATGATCTGAGCTGTCTCTTTATGGAAAGCAGACAGCAGTGAAAAGATGGGGCTGGTTGGAGCAAAAATCACTCTTCAGCAGTGATTTCTCGCCTGTCTTTGGTGATCAAGAGCTGTTAGTGTTGAGTGTGATAGAAACATAAATTACATTAAAGCAGGAAAAGAGGTCCTGACTCAACAGTGTCTGGGCACGAACACAGATTTACCAGAGCATCCTTAATCTCCAAAATCATTCAGTTAAAGGTAATCTCTCCTTTAGATTTTTATTGATGCGTGGCTCTTATCAGGACTGTATCCCTTGGTGGGGGATTGTAGGAGAACTGTTTGTGTAATCTTTGTTCCTGGCAAAATGAAATAGCTACCAAGAGAGGTCATGGAGATAACATCTACTGGGTGCCTTCACACAGAGTAGATAAGATGGTGTGTCCAGGTCAGTGATGTTCTCTCAGCAGGGACTTGCTTTAGCCACTGAGGCAGTGGCACCTTCAGCCCTGTTTTCATAACTCAAATAAGGAATTTGTTTTCAGCACAGAGCACCTTCATGCAGAGATGAGACCACAATGTGATACCAAAAGCTGAAATCATGGACTGAGGCTTTTTTCTTCTTATGTATTAGATAGTGTAAAAATCAAGGAGGTCTGAAAGGTAATTGGCTCTGTATACTTTCTGTGAATGGTTGTATATTTTAATACTCTCAAACTTGCCTCTGTAAGCTCTAGGCTTGAAACCATTATATTTTACTAATTTTAAAAATTTTAAACAGAACTTCTCTTGAAATAATTTAATTCCAGAAACTTGATATTGATAAAAAGCCATGACTCCTATGAAACTGATAAAGTTGCAACACATTATGTCTGCTTTTGGCCAGCCAGCTCTTTTCCACAGAGTCCCTATGGACACCTCTGACTCTCACAGCTCTCCCCATGTGGAAATGGGGATGGTCAGGCCCACAAGAAGTTCTGACTGTGCCAGGTCATTCTCTCCAAACCAGAAGGATTTCTGAAGGATTAACTTTTCTTTCCTCATACCTTTCCAGGCTCCTGCTCTGCAGCACCATGCTGGATCCCAAGCCTCACTCTGCAAGCCAGAGGTGAGTCCAGGTGAAAGCCAGCTACCCCAGTAGTGTCAGGATGACCAAAGCGCGGCTCCTCCGTCTGTCTGTGGTGCTGGTCTCCATCTTCATGATCCTCCTGATTATTGTGTACTGGGACAACGTGGGCACAGCTCACTTCTACCTGCACACATCCTTCTCCAGACCCCGCTCCCCAGGAGCCATCGCAGCAGGTGAGGACTGGGAAGCCTTGCCAGATGTAGATGAATTTTTGGTAAAGCTGCTGAGCTCGAGCCTGAAACAGAACAGCTCTATCCCCCGAAAGACAGAGCAGCAGCTCCTCGTCCAGGGCTCCAACAAGCCTGTGGTGAGTAACTTGGAGGAGAACGTGCGGGGCTATGACTGGTCTACACACAAGGACAGGAACAGCTTGGACCAAGAGAAGCTGCAGGTAGAGAGGCAGAGAACATTGCGGGAGTTTTGTGCCAATTCCAGCTTCACCTTCCCCACCAAGGAGCGCTCCTTCGACGACATTCCAAACTACGAGCTCAACCACCTGATTGTGGATGACCGCCACGGCGTCATCTACTGCTACGTGCCCAAGGTGGCCTGCACCAACTGGAAACGTGTGATGATCGTGCTGAGTGAGAGCCTGCTGGACCAGGGGGTCCCCTACCGGAACCCTCTGGATATCCCCCGGGAGCACGTCCACAACACCAGCACCCACCTGACGTTCAACAAATTCTGGCGCCGCTACGGGAAGTTCTCCCGGCACCTGATGAAGATCAAGCTGAAGAAATACACCAAGTTCCTCTTTGTACGAGACCCCTTTGTGCGCCTCATCTCTGCTTTTCGCAGCAAATTCGAGCTGGAGAACGAGGACTTCTACCGGCGTTTCGCCATCCCCATGCTAAAGCTCTACTCCAACCACACCAACCTTCCCACCTCCGTTAGCGAGGCCTTCGGGGCAGGCCTCAAAGTCTCCTTTTCTGACTTCATCCAGTACTTACTGGATCCCAGGACAGAGAAGATGGCCCCCTTCAATGAGCACTGGAGGCAGGTTTACCGTCTGTGCCACCCGTGCCAGATAGACTATGATTTCATCGGGAAGCTGGAGACGCTGGATGAGGATGCTGCTTATTTACTGCAGCTCCTCAAAGTGGACAGGCTGCTTCGCTTCCCACCCAGCTACCGGAACAGGACTGCCAGCAGCTGGGAAGATAACTGGTTTGCCAAAATCCCACTGGCTTGGAGGCAGCAGCTCTACAAGCTTTATGAAGCAGATTTTGTACTCTTTGGCTACCCCAAGCCAGAAAACTTGCTTAAAGACTGAAAGTGGTTGGGCAGTGGGTGTGGGAGGGAACATCTGAAATACCAAAAATGTTTAAATCCTCCTCATTTTTGCTCTTAACTCCCTTCCCAATGCAAGTTGGTACAATGGAATATATTTTTTCTACTGCTTCCCCTTCCATTTTTACAATAATGCCAGAGGCCAGGGTATTACAGCCAGCTGTGCATATGCAAAAAATGCCTTTTTTTTGGGTTATCATTTGTTTTCTGTTTTTTTAAAATGTCCCCATACTTTGCAATGGGTTGCTGCCCTTGGTCACTCTGCCAATCATGTCCTTCAGTAGCTTTTTATTAATACTTTTTAAAAATTAATATATTTAAGATATTTAAAACAAAGCGTGTGTCATGGCAAAGGAAGGGAAGGAATAAAAAAAAAGTAAAAGAAAATCCCAGGAAATTATGTATCTGCCTCTGTGTGTTGTCTCAGGGCTGCTGTTTCAGAGGTCCAGGGTTTGCAGAGCATTTGGATCTCTCTGGGGCTGGGATGTTGATTGTGCCAGATCTGCTGGTGGTCACTTCAAGATGGGCTTGAGGCAGTGGGATGGGTCAGTGCCTGACTCTGCCAAACAGGCCTGAAAGAACCCCTGGAAGGACTCTGGTGACACACTGCTCACCAGGGTCACAGGAAGGAAATGGCATTGGGAGCAGTGACAGCAAGTCCTGTGGGGTGTTTTGGGGCATGCAGGTGGCCAGCACAGCACCTCTGCACTGCCTGACCTTTGGCAAAGTACTGTGGGACTCTGCTGTCCACGAAGCTGAGGTTCTGCCCCTACAGCTTGCTTGTGTGGAGCATTCCCATGAGTTGTCCCATTCCAGCAGGGTGGTGATGTTCTTAGGGGTTGTGGCCAGCCAGGATGGGCAGAGTGCTCCTGGATGGGTGAGCTGGCCAGGCCCTGGTGGTGTGCTGCTCCATGACCTGGTCACTGCTGCATGCAATGCAGGTCCCTTGAGATGTGCTGTGCTCTCATCATCCCTGTGCACGCTTTAAGGTAATGTGGCAGGGATGCAGATTCTTATCCCTGAGAGAAAAAGATCCAAAAGGTTTCTTTCAATAAGCAGATGTCAAGGTCAACTCAAAGTTTCTCTGTTTTCAGCATTCCAGCTACTGCTCGTGACACCACATCCTCATCTGCTGCCTTTCTGCTTACTCCAAATGGCTGATGCAGATCTGATCATCTGCCTTGCTGGGACCTGCTGCAGGAGTGATGGTTCCCACTGTGCTGGGAGCATGTGGGCTGCTTCCCAAAGGAAATTAATGCCTTTAGAGACTTTTTGTGTCTCATCAGCTGAATCTGCTTCTCTTTCTCTCTCTGAATTGCTCTGCAAAAACTGTTTGCTTAGCAGATTAGGCAGGCAACTCTTTCAGAGCTGAAATGCTTAATTATTTCCCTGGACTGTGGATGGTATCAGTGATTAAGGTCCAGGTCAGGCCTTGGGAGACAGCTCTGTATTTTGGGGAGACTTCTTTGTATTGGCCTTTTACTCAGTTTCTGTCCAAGGCCATCAGCAGCCGTGATTTTTCCTCTCTCTCCCCTTGCTCCCCCGGTTTCTGCACAAGTACATCTAGGCACTCCATGCTCTTTCTAATAAATGTGCTGTATCAAGCTTTTTAACCTATAAATGAGAGGTAATTGCTGGTAGTTAGACTCAAAACAAAGGATTTGTTTCTCCTTGTACTCACACCACTCTCCTGTAATTTGTGCAGAGATATTTGCAGTTTAAATGAGCCTGAAGCTGTCGTCAGGGTCTTGGTGCTTTGTTCCTCATAGCTTGGGGAAAAAGGAAGTGCCTGCTTCTGAGTCATTATTTAAAACTAATAATAGAAAAGTGTTGATCTATTCAATTTTTTTCCCAGTTAACAGTTAATTGCTGCAAAACAGAAAGATGTAGAGTCTCGTCTCCGATAATGAGTAATCCCGGGAGTCTCTTGATTCCTGCTACATTTACATTTCTTCAGGGTGGGTTCATCCCGCTCTTCAAAAAACACAGTGTGGATGTTTTCATCTCTTGTCTTTTCAAAGTGTTTATTTTTTTCCTCTTTTAATTTCCATGTAATTGATGTTTAGTATGTGCAGGCATGGGGGGCTGGGGCCAAAGCACACATGCCATGTGAGCTTCCCACCAGCTGCTTCCCCTGCACCTCCTGATCTAGTCCTCTCTCTTCCTGCCCCTCCAAGCAGTGCTTGGCTGCTGGATCCCAGTGCCACCCTGCAAATCAGCTGCTGCCTCCCCAGCCACACTTGTCCTGTGATTCATGGCCACAGCCTGTCCCAGGAACATCTTTTCAAGGTCACTGGCTGGCAGTCATCCAGGGCAGGGGAGGAATAGCTTGCAGTGTTATAATTTTTGGCAGCGAGGTCCTGGTTGTGCAATGGGCAGAAAAGGTGCAAAATGGCTGCAAAAGCTGCCCAGCAGCTGCTCCATGTGGTGTGAGAGTGTGTCCTCTCCACGTGGCTGCCTTGTGATTTAACAGCCTTAGAAGGAAAAGGTTTTTCCAACGCTCCCTTGCTGACACTGGCTAGACAGGGGAGACTTGGAACACACTGATTTCTCTTTCCACATCCAAAGCTGGATGAAGTGAGTAAATTCCAGCTTTATGTGCTAACACCGCTCTGCATCACACTGAGGTCCAAAACACGCCATGTGTGAGGCTGAGCAAGCTGCCTGCATCCCAATGGCTCCATCAGCCTCCCTGGAAGCTGCAGGCAGGAGAATGTACGGATGGCATGAGGCCACCGAGGGCCCTGTGTTCTCTACTTTCCCTTTTTCATCTCACCAAGTCCAGCCTTTACTGATATCTTAGACATTTTAGTGCTTGCAGAACTGTCCCCAACCAACATGCTGGGTGCTCTTGGCTCTCTCCTCATTTTCCATTGCCACGCTTCAAAGCTCTTCCCGGGAGGAGCAGTAAAACTTGGATGGGGAGTGTTCATGTTGCAGTGGTTGGCTTCTGGATTCAAAATAACTTGTTCCTTGCTGCTCCTCCCTTTTGAAGCTCTTCTTCCCCACCCTGCCACCACTGTGAATGTATTGTTAAGAAGTCAAAGGGGATCCAGGCTGTGCTGAGCTTTGTGGTAAGACCACTGGGTTGCCAGAACTGGGATGTAGCCTCTGGCTTTGGAAATGTGCATTTTTTGTGGGTTTCTTGCTCTGTTCTCATGATGTGAAAGTGTGTATGTGGGGGGGAGAAGGACAAAGAGTTCAACCAGCCATGCTTCCTTCCCCCCTGGTTTCATAAAGGAGTTGGAATTTGGTATTTGACAAATAATGGCAGGCAGAATGCATCCGTGCTGGCCTGAAGTCAGAAGAGGTCTAACAATCCTGGAATGTAGATGGATATGATGCTCATATCAGTTTCATGAGGGCTGGAAAATGCTTTGAAGCAGGCTATTTGTGTCTGAATAAACCTGGCTTTGTCATTTCATGCTCAGCCTGCAAAGTTGTGTCCTGTTCCCCTCTTGGCTTGCTTTTCCCTGGGGTTGACCACTTGGCCAAAGACAGCATGGAGTCTCTAACGAGGCAGAACTGATGTGCAGATGCAAAAATAACCTGGGGTTTGACCAAGATGTTTCCAGCTGGGTAGAACTGAAACCAGCTTTAGTGCTTGCTCAGCATCAGAGCCAAAATCTTTACACAACCATTGAACAGATTTGGTCCCTTGCTGTTTGATGCCGGATTCTCTGGTGGAGTGGGATGCATGTGACCTGGCTTTGCAGCCCCTGTGTCCTCCAGGAAAGGGCTGTCAGGTCAGAACTCCTTTTTTTTTGAGCAGTGACATGACTTTGTCAGGGTAGGAGCATCTTTAAAACATGGGTACCTTTGCATCTCAGTATTTTTTTGCCTTAACTCTTTAATTAGCTTGTGTTTACGGGGACAAAACTATAGATTCATCATCCACGGACAACATTCACCCCGGGACAACATGCGAGATGAAATGTTTTGGCTGTGTGTTTTGCATCCTTCAAGGTGGCACTGGAAGGATGGAGGGCAGGGGATGAATGGCAGCATTGAAAGGGTGGTGAAGAAAAGCCAGTTTGTTCCTTCTTACGTAAGCTGGACCTTCGAGCGCCCGCGGGGGAAAGCCGGTGACTTGGCAGGGCGCTGCGGGGCTGTGGTGCACAGCGGTGCCAGGGAGGGTGTGGGGTGTGGTGGCTCAAAAGAAAGTCGTGTTGCTTGAATTTAAGGGCTTGCCCACTCTGGTCTTGCTCATAAACCCTCTAGTCAAGGGTAAGAGGGATAAATAAAGCAGAATTTAATAAAGCCATTGATACCTGGCTGTTTGGGAAAGAGATGGGGAGGATGGGTGGTGCTGGCTCTGGAGCTGGCACAGTGCAGCTCTTCTCTGTCCTTGATTCAATCAAATTGGGGATCGAGCTTAGACTGTGCAGGCTGAGGTCTGCCCTGGCAGGGGCTGGGGAGCACTTGCCCTGGGGGCTGTGGCAGAGTGCCATGCCATGCTGGGAGTGGTGTGGAACAGCCCCGTGCTGGGTGGGAGCGATGCTGGAGAGCCCCGTGCTGGGACAGAAGGGATTCTGGAGAGCCCCGTGCTGGGACAGAAGGGATTCTGGAGAGCCCCGTGCTGGGACAGAGGGGATGCTGGAGAGCCCCGGCCGTGCCGGGAGGGATGCTCGGCAGCCGGCGGGGCTGGCTGAGCCTCTCCCCTCCTCTCCCCTCCTCGCTGCTGTGTCTGCCGAGGCTCCGCGGGAGCCGGCCGTGCAGCCGCTCCGCCGTGGCTCATACTGGAACCCGTTTCGTGTTCCTGGGCTCTGACAGACGCCGCTGCCGCTGCCCCCGGCTTGGCTCCTGCAGCAGCAGGGGTCTGTCTGTCTGTCTGTCTCTACAGCCGCTGCCAGCAGCAGTTCCTGTCACCGATGCCCTGCGAGGCGATGGATAAAGCACAACCCAAACCCTCAGCACGGTTCCTGTGCTCAGCAGATTGTGTTTTTGCGACCTGTGCTGCAGGTGAGCCTGTCTCTGAGACTGGAAAATTAATCGCTGCCACTGAATACTGAAGGCTCTGGAAAACCTGACAGAAGGAGGTGATTTTACAAAGCACAGAATCATAGGCTATCCTGAGCTGGAAGAGACCTGCAGGCATCATTGTGTCCAACTGTTAGCCCTGCCCAGGACATCCCCAAGAGTCACACCATGGGTGCTAATGGAGAATGCTGCAGTAATTTTAGCAGACTGCCCCAGAGGGCAAGCAGGGCAAGTAAATGTGGCTGTTTATCAGTCTTTTCTCACTGTTTATACTTTAGGACTATTGCCTTTTATATCTGGCTTTTCAGGTATTCATGTCCTTGCCATCTGGGCTGTGAGGTCTGGACCTGGCCCATAGCATTTGGAGAGAGACAATGACCCCCAGGCTGTGGTGGGATGCAGGGCAGCAGGAATTTCCCTTGCAGGGAATGATGTGAACCCAGAGACTCACGCAATGGACCACGTTTTCCTTCTCAAACCATGAGACAGAGCCAAGGAACATGTATTTAATTATCAGTGATGCTAATTGTAGTTGTGAGCC